TGAAGAGAGCACACCAGCACAGAGACACACTGACACAGCCCAGCCAGCTGTACGACCTCCACCAGGCATACAGATGGGACTCAGACAGCCTGGATGAATACCAGAGAGCATCTGGAAAATCAGACATTATTGACTACATCCCCAATTATTCTATATCGAACCAAGAAAACAGGCAGAAATCTGGCTGTAAAAGATTCTAAAAAGATTTCGTTTTCTATATCAAAAAGAATAAATGCAAAACACACCAAACAAAACAAAAGCGAAAGAAAAATGGTCTGGTACAGACTGCAGAAACAGCGGAAAAGCACTGTGTGGACGATCAAACCGAAAGAACACACAACCACACAGCGAGATACTGGGAGATGGTGACGCACTGCAGACACACCCCAAAGAAGAAAATAAACACAAGCATGAACACAGACAACTCTCAGCCATCCAGGAATCAATAAATCAAAACTGTTTCTGGGAAAGATGGAATAATTTTAAAAAAATCAAGAACCAGTAAAATCGCCCATCCAGAATGTATCAGTCTGGAAAACCTCATTTGAACATCTCTACCATCAGATCCCAAACACAGAAGCACTAGACCAAAACAACAAACTGTACGTGGAAAACTGAAAATATTCCAATGGGCTATCAAAGACAACCCAAACCCCCTAAACTCTCCAATCGCTGAGCAGGAGCTACTGGACAAACTCCAGGCCCTCAGACCACGCAAGGCCGGTGGCCAAGATGTAGCTGATAAGATACTGAGACACAGCAGTTTGTAGCTGCAGCAGGCCCTGCTCAAACTCCTCAACCTCAGCATGAAACCGGCTGTTTCCCTGGGGCCTGCAGTCAAGGACTGATCACGCCCACCTACAAGACTGGAGACAGACTGGACCCTAACAACGACCAAGGCATCTGTGTGAACAGTAACCTGGGGACGGTATCCTGCAGCATCATGAATACCCAAATACTGGCCTTCCTTACCGAGCACCGTGTCCTGAGCAAGAGTCAGACCGGCTTCCTACCAAACCGCTGTGCATCAGATCATAGTTACTCCCTACACACACTTACTGTAAATAGTAAATGAGCATGTCCACCAAACAAAACCTAGAAAAATATATGCATTCTTTATTGATTTCAAAAAAGCATTTGATTTAATTTGGCCCAAAGGACAGTTTTAAAAAATTCGTCTTAGGGGTGTAGGAGGTAAAGTCTACAATTTAGTGTACAGTACTCAGGCAGTGAAAATCAGAAACAAAAGGAGGGAATTCTTCACTCTGTGGGGTGAGACAGGGCTGCAGCCTGAGCCCATCACTGTTCAATATCTCCATCAAGGAGTTAGCAGGAATGTTGGAACAGTCTGCAGCTCCTGGTCTCACACTACATGACAGAGATCAAGTTCCTGCTGTTGCCCACAGAACAGGGGCTGCAGCAGAGCCTGGCACTGCTGGAGCAGTACTGTCAGACCTGGGCACTGCCAGCCCATCTGGACCCAGAACAGGGGCTGCGGCAGAGCCTGGCACTGCTGGAGCAGTACTGTCAGACCTGGGCACTGCCAGCCCATCTGGACACAGAACAGAACAGAGAAGGAGACAGCACCAGAGACAGAGAGAGTGAGACAGCGCCAGAGACAGGGAGAGTGAGACAGAGAGAGAGGGAGACAGCGCCAGAGACAGGGAGAGTGAGACAGCGAGAGTGAGGCGGGTGAGGCACCTGAGTGCGCGGCTCAGCTTGTCGTAGTTCATGTGCGGTTTACACTTGCGGATGCCCCAGAGCCGGGCGACCTCGTCGGGGTCCTTGATGACGAACTCGCCGTAGTCCCCCTGCCAGGCGATGACGTTCTGGTACTCCTCCTTCTGCAGCAGCTCCAGGATGAAGTGCCAGAGCTGGATCTGCCTGGAGCCGGGGCTCGACTCAGGCTTGTAGGCCCAGTCTGGGAATGCTATGCCTTGGAGATATGGAGAGGGAGGGGTTAACAGAGAGAGCAACAAAATGGACACTAATGTACAGTAACACTGTACTGTCCAAGGAGTGACCGTTACCTGGAGTCCAGAGTGCAGGTACAGGGGGGGTCAGGAGCAGATCACTCACACAGTTACAGTCCATAGCCAACCTGGGGCACACCTGAGAGAGAGAGGGGTTAATACACTACATTAACACTGCACAGAGAGAGAGAGGGGTTAATACAGACACACTGAC